ACTGAGCCATCTTCCCAGCCCCTTACTACAGTAATTTAAAGTCTTTTAAACACACTATATTTCTTTTTATCACACCTCATACACATAACCATAACAAAAGCCTTTGGCCTTACATGTATGGTGAATGATCCAACCTCCCTTTTTCTTCTACCCTCAGTAAGAAATGATAAAAGAAATTTCAAAGAGATTCCATACCTCCCCAACAGTTTTTATGGTTTATCCCACTCCCAACCTCACCACCACCCCAGTGCTAGGGATGGAATCAAGGACCTTGCAGATACAGCATGAGGCAAGCACACTCCCAGTGAGCTATCCTTGAGCCCCTGCATACTAACTTTGTACTTGTTATTGGAGTAATTCCCCCATGCTGCCTCGTAGTCTCCACATTTAAAAAATGTTTTAACTTCTCAACTAAAGATAAACCACATGGGCCAGGGAAATGGCTTAGTGGAATAAGCGCTTCCCTGGCAAGCGCAAGGGCCTGAGTTCAATCCCTGGTTCTGCCAAAAAAAAAAAAAAAAAAAGATAAATCACATATTAAATGTCACTCTCCTAATCACTTTTTTGGTTTTTTTTAAGATAGTCTTGCTAGGGGCTGGAGAGATGGCTCAGTGGTCTAAAGCACCTACTTGAAACAAGCTTGGCAAAGCACAGGGACCGTGGTTCGATCCCCAGCACCACATGCCAGCCAGCCCCGCCCCCTGGTGGGCTGAGCGCTGGCCACACACACACACAATAAATAAATGTAATAAAAATAAATAAATATTAAAAAAAAAAAAAAGATAGTCTTGCTACATTATGTAGCTTCTGTTGGCCTTGAATTCACTATGTAATCTAGGCTGGCCTTGAACTTGGGGCAGTCCTACCTCAGGTTCCCTCCCTAGTGTTAGGATTATTCTCCTAGTCACTTTTGCACTGAAATCCTTAGAACAACTTTTTAAAGCAAGCATTAGTCTATCATAACTCGTGGATAGGAAAATAGATTCACAATTAACTTTCCCAAGTTCATATTATAAAAATAAATGTTAGGATATGAACCCAGATCTCTCTCACTAGTAATTTTTCTTTTTGCTTCATCAAATATAGTTTCATTTATTACTTCCCCTGTTTAGGATGTTTAATGTCTGATAAGGTTTTTTTGTTTGACCACCACCACCCCTAGTGAAACTTTAGGTCTTACAGATGTTAGGCAAGTGCTCATTGATGCTGTACATTCCATCCCAAGGCTTTTTTTGTTTTTTAAACTGGGTCTTAGTTCTCTAGGCTACCCTTCAATTTTTCTGCCCTTCAATTGTTCTGCCTCAGTCTCTCAGCTGGGATACAGACATGCACCAATATGTCCAGCTCAAGATTTAAACTTTTAAATAAAACATACAAACTTTTTAAAAAATGTATTTAATAGAGTCTCACTATGTAGATTGGACTCTAGTAATTCTCCTGTTTTCAGCTTCCCAAGCACTGGGATTATAGGCGCACCACCACACCCAGTCTCAATCACTGTATCAGCTTGCCCCAGGGGTGGGGCCAGGATCAAACCCGGTCCCTGCAGTATCTAAGCAGGTGCTTCAGTCAGCTGAGCTATCTGGCCAGCCCTTCAAATATCTTTATATAAACAAACCTTCAAACCTACAGCCACTGTAGAATGCCTTAAGATTTCATTCATTTTTACATTTAATCTGCATGAATTATGTAGATAGTGAATATTATAGATATTTATGCGGTCACTATTATATGGTAACACATTGTTTGACTGGTATGTTCCTCTCAACCCAAACAGAATTACAAGGTAGCGTTAAGAGAGAAATGGGCAAAAACATTTATTGTAGAGTGGAAGCAGAAAGCTCCCAGTACCAGGAGGACCTGAGCAGGTTGCCAGGGGTCTTTGTCTAGGAATTTTTCTACACAAAAATGACTATAGCGTAGATCACTCTGGGCCAAGTTGAGGTCAGCCTACGGAGTTTACAAGCAGCAAAGTTGACTTGGAAGTGTGCATATTGGAACTCAGATATGTAGAAAACATATTTTGCAAGCATCATTCATTATAATTTTTCTAAGATTATCAGCACAAGCAGAACAAAAGCACTCTTCAAAGAGATATGAATGGAGACTTGATGGTATTGTTTATCATCTTATTTTTATCACATTATTGGACAGGATGATCCCACTAGTCTAATAGGAGGCTCTTGTTTATTGGGCCACCAGAGCTCTGGCCTTGGCCGTTGTGTTCCCATCCTGGAGCCTGGTTTTTTGTTAGCTCTCAGCCCTAGGCTTCATCTTATCTTGTCCTTCACTGTGTCATCCTGACTCCCTCTGGACTTGGTTTTCTCTGGCTGCCTGTCCTGCCTGCTCAACTCCCTTTGCCTAGAACACTCCCTTAGTGGACCGGCATCACTCTAGAAAGTCTTCTCACCTTCCCACAGGACCCTGTTCATCTTTAACATTTTCTAAAACTCACTATGTTTTAGCAGAACTGATTGTTTACTTTTTTTTTTTTTTTTGTGGTACTGGGGATTGAACTCCGGCCCTTGCGCTTGCCAGGGAAGCACTTATTCCACTGAGCCATCTCCCCAGCCCAGAACTGATTGTATAAATCACTATTGTTTGCCTCTTTTCAGGGTGACAATACCTAAGTCTTAAAAAAATGAAACCGAAGCCCAACGCACATGTGCAGAAGGCTCCTGGTTCATCTTCCTCAGGTCATCTACCCCCTTCCCTGTTTCAATAAGCTCCATTCTAGGTTACGTTTTATATATATAATTGAGTGTGAGCTTATGTATATGCGATGGTGGCAGGTACTACAAATAGGGGTAGGTGAAAATGTTTTCAGACAGTAGGAGTTAGTATTTAAAGAGAACGTTTGGGAAAACATCTCAGATAAGATTATTAGGCAGAGGACTGGCAAGATAGTTTAGTGGTCTATAGTGCCTGCTTAGGCACGCTTAGGTAGGCTCAGGGGACTTTGGTTTGATCCCCCCACATGCTGCACCAGCCCCACCCTCATGAGTGGGCAAAAAAAAAAAAGATTATTAGGCAGAGAACTGGGTAGGGTAGTGCAGGCCTATAATCCCAGACTCAAAGAGGCTGAGGCAGAGAAGCGTACCAGCCTAGCCTGGGCAACTCATTGACTTAGCAAGATCCTGTCTCAAATTAAAAAATAAAAAGAGGCCTGGGGATATAGCTCAGTGGCACAGCACCTGCCTGGTAAGCACAAGGTCCTGAGTTCAATTCTCGGTACCAAAAACTAAAGATAAGAAATAAAGGGCCAGCCAGGTAGTTCAGCCAACTAAAGCACCTGCTTAGGCAGAGTGCAGCAGCTGGGGTTTGATCCCTGTGTGCCTTGCCAGCCCCGCCCCCGGGGCGCACTGAGCCGGTGATTGACCCTGTACCGAATAAATAAAAGATTAATCAAAATCAGAAAAATAGACTTGGTAATAAATAAATAAATAAATAAATAAACGTGGTAAGAGATAAAATATTCAAGTTTTTTTTTCCCCCTTAAAGGGCATGTCAGATAAATTGAAAAATTGTGTTCAGTAGGCATTCCTGAAGAAGAGAACAGATGGGGACAGTAGAGAAACAGTGTGTCAAAGCATAGTAGACCTTTTTTTTTTTGAAACAGGGTCTCTGTGTAGTTCAGACAGGCCTTAAACTCACTATGTAGTCCCAGCTGATCTCAAACTCAAGAGTAATTCTGCCTCATCCTCCTCAGGGATGGGATTACAGGTGTGTGCTACCACACCTAGCCGCACTTTTTTTTTTTTTTTTTTTTAAAAAACTGGGGATTGAACTCAGGCCCTTGTGCTTGCCAGGGAAGTGCTTACTCCACTGAGCCATCTCCCCGGCCTGAATGGCAGAAGGATTTTTTTTTTTCTCTGAATGCCTTCAGGGCAGGTTTGGCTGGCTTGAGTTGTAGGGATGGAACCACAGCAACCTGAGCCTGACTGCTTTGTTGAAGCAGCCACTTAAAGAACTGAGCTAAGGGGCAGGCCCCCACACCATTTTAAAGAAGCAAATTATTAAAGTTGTCTTTTAAAAGAAAAAAGAAAAAATGCCTTAGATGAGCAACAGAGCACTCATATTTTAGAAGCTACTAGGCAGTCATTTCTTGAACATTTTAAGATCAGGGAAGTGATTACCCTGGGAAACTGAGGCCCGGTCTCACAGCTGTCCCCTCCTCCTTTGCTCTTCAGAGAGTACACACTGGATATGTACAGGCTGTCTTCCATGGTCACACAACACGATGCCAAGAAGGCTGGAGCTGAGGTGGTAAAGCAGGTGGAACACCCTTTGCTGAGTGGTCTGTTGTACCCTGGACTGCAGGTACTTGAGCACTGGAGGAGACCCAGTTACCTTTCTGCTCTAATTCTAACTGTTGGGCCCTAGCCTCCCACCGCAGCTGTGTCTCCCCTCCTTTTCTTCCTCCCTAGCTTCCTAGAATGTTCTTTTACTTGATTGTAAGTCTATGTGTTCTTTATGACAGCACTCATCTCACACATCTTTTTTGTCTTTTTGAGACAGGGTCTCACTTTGCAGCTCAGGCTGGCCTTGAGCTCACTTTGTAGCTCAGGTTGGTCTCCAAAGATCCTCCTGCCTCAACCTCGAATGCTGGGATTACAGGCCTGTGCCACTACGCCTGGCTTCACGTGTCTTCTTTATGTTAATCACAACTTTTTGTTGTTTGGATTTTTTTTTTTTTTTTTTGCAGAACCCGGAATTGAACTCAAGCCCTTGCACTTGCCAGGGAAGTACTTATTCCACTGAGCCATCTCCCCAGCTTGTTGTTTGGATTTTTGAGACAGTGTTTCAAATTGCAGTGTAGGGCTGGTGAGATGGCTCAGTGGTCTAAAGCACCTACTTAGAACAAGCTTAGCAAAGCACAGGGACCATCCCCCAGCACCACATGCCAGCCAGCCCCGCCCCCTTGTGGGCGGAGCTGGCCACACACACACACACAAATAAAATTTAAAAAAAACAAATTGCAATATAGTACAGGTTGGCCTTAAAGTTGCCATTTCTCTGCCTCAGTTTCCTGAGTGCTGGGATTGCAGCCATGCAGCACTGTGCCCTGCTGGTCATAATCTCTTAATTAAAAATAAACTGATATGTGAAAAAAAATCTTAGCCATGGGCCTGGAGAGATAGCTCAGTAGAATAAATGCTTGCCTGGCAAGTGCAGGGGCCTGAGTTCACTACCCGGTTCTGCCAAAAAAAAAAAAAAAAAAAAAAAAAAAATCTTAGCCATGATCCTATTTTGCATTAAACAAAACAATCACATCACATTTCATAGACATTTGTATTTGTACAAGCAAGGAAAAAGCAAAAAAATACAAACCAAGCTATTGATTTTGGTTACCTCAGGAAGGTAGAATGAAAATGTAAATACATTAATTTTTTTTTTACTTTTTTTTTTTTTTTTTTTTTTTTTTTTTGCGGACCTGGGGATTGAACTCAGGCCCTTGCGCTTGCCAGGGAAGTACTTATTCCACTGAGCCATCTCTCCGGCCCCTTATTTTTTTATATTTTTTAATGTTTGCTATTAAAAAAAAAAAAAATCTCCCCTTGTCGCCTCAGAAACCTTTGCTAACATTATACCTGGAAGCTTCCTAGATCTGCACTGTGCAGTGTGGTAGCTCCTCATCTGAGTCATAAAGGTCTATTAAGGAATTAAGGTTTCAATTAAGTGAGGGGGCATGTGTACCTGGAGCCTCGCTAGCTGAGAGGCTGGGGCAGGAGGAGTATTTGAGTCCAGGAACGTTAGGCCAGCCTGGGCAGTATGCCAACACCTTGACTCCAAAAAAAGTTAAACATGTAGTTTTTTGTTTTTTGTTTTTCATCAGTAAAGACTTTAAAAATAGATATTTAGGGGCTGGTGAGATGGCTCAGTGGTCTAAAGAACCTACTT